CCGCCCCTGCCTGCCGGATTGCCCCTAACCATTTGCCTGCCTGCCTGATCACCCTTAACTGCTGCCTGCCTGATTGACCCTAACCACTTGCTGGACTGATCGCCCTTAACCACTTGCCTGCCTGCCTGATTGCCCCTAACCGCTCACCTGCCTGCCTGATTGCCCCTTATCATTCACCTGCCTGCTTGATCGCCCCTAACCACCTCTGCCTTGGCCCCTGCTGCTGCAGCTTCGTCTGGAAGGACATCTGGAAGGTTGTTTGACTGTCTGGTCTAATTAGCATATTATGCTTTTATTATTATAGATTCATTTGGCAGGAACTCATCATTTATATATGAAGATTGCCTCTTTCCTTTTTTTCATTAGCTTTCTATATTTAAAGTAACTTTTTTCATCAATCAGTAATGGGAAATACAAAAGTGCATGTGATAGGCTCTCAGAATATATTTGTTAATATTTCAAATTATCACTAAAGCAACATTTAAAAAAATTACTACAGACTTTGTACAAGTTTTTGATCTCTAGTGTGAACAATACATATTTGGAGGACCTACGATGTAAAAACAGAGAAGTAGGACAATCATGTTCCAGAATGGAAGGAAGTGTTTCTTACAACAGCAGAAGTCAGCACCGTAGAATGTGGTTGAGTATGAGGGCAATATAGTATGACAAAGAGTAAAGTACCATTCAGTGTTAATATTAGCTGAAATGTTACTATTTTTCCAGGAAAATAGACTTACATGTTCTCAGTGCAGAATATCTGATTGCAGTGTTAAGGAAATTATGTTTTATTCTTTTAGAATTTTTACCTCCTGTATTCTCAGATTTCCTGAGAATCTCTTTCATTTTTTAAAAAAATATATTTTATTGATTTTTTACAGAGAGGAAGGGAGAGAGATAGAGAGTTAGAAACATCGATGAGAGAGGAACATCGATCAGCTGCCTCCTGCACATCTCCTACCGGGGATGTGCCGGCAACCCAGGTACATGCCCTTGACGGGAATCGAACCTGGGACCTTTCAGTCCGTAAGCTCCATCCACTGAGCCAAACCGGTTTCGGTGAGAATCTCTTTCTTAATATAATGCTCTCTGATACTTTACTTGTTTTGGAAGTTAAAGCTAGCTAATATATTTTGTTTTTACTTTTGTGACATCTTTTAACATAATTTGAGATGTCTTGGTATATCAGACATTTAGATGGGAACATTTTAAACATTTCGACCTACATGGACATTTTGATTTTGTAAAATACTCCTGTGATAATTTTTTACAGTTGCTTCAAATATGTAGAAATATGGTAATATAATTTGGTTAGGTTTATTTTATGTTGCGATTAAAGGTGGCAGTGTCAATGAGCCACATTGGTTTTGAGTTGGTTTTAATGGGAAGAGAATAAGAAACACAAAATGGGAATGGGTTGAAGAAATTTGTACGTATTAGATGGTTTCTTCTTTGGAGTAATTATTTCCAATATTTGCTTTTTAGAAAATCATTTCAAGAAATATACCAATCAGATTCTGAAGGATGGGAAACATCAAAAGATCTGAGAAGTAATCTTGGAAATTTAGAATCAGAACTTCTATTTCTAAATACGCTTACTGGTATAAATATCAGAAAGTACTCCAAGAAGATAGAGAACCTAACGAGCACTGAGAAGACAGAAAGGCGTAAGTGTTCATTTTTATCTAGCAGTGGTGTTGAAGCTTTTCTTGTTATGCATAGGAATTGGGTGGGGTGTCGTTGAATTAAAATTTTACAAGGTAACTATCTGAATGTGTGGTTGGTAAAGTTGTTGTGTAGGGTATTTTGCATATCACAGTGTGTACATAATACTCTTAAAAGCTGCCTGAGATAGATGTTAAAGGAAACATGATAAAAGGATAGATATTTAAGTAGCTTAATAGTCAAGTAAAGGAGGTAAGTGATTGTAAGAACAATACCACCACTAATTTGTAAATCTTAGGAGTTTTCCTCCACAGACCCGAAAGATGCTTCATCTACAGTACTGAACTCCTATTGAACATAATCTG